TTAAAGGTACAGTACGTAGTATGATATTAACACAGTACCAACAACAAATTAAAGGTACAGTACATAGTATGATATTAACACAGTACCAACAAGTTAAAGGTACAGTATGTAGTATTATATTAACACAGTACAAACAACAAGTTAAAGGTACAGTACATAGTATTATATTAACACAGTACCAACAACAAGTTAAAGGTACAGTAAGTTTATTCTGATATAATTGTATTAATAAAGTTCATCATTGTATTCTGTTCCTCTGTTTTTCAGATCTGGGTGAGACAGTAAACACTTTATTGGAGGAGAAGAAGAACTTTATTACTCAGGTTCATGAACAGCAGAGACGGATAGAAGAGCTGACGTCACGGGTGAGAACGGAGAGAACCTGCAGGATAACTTGTTCTCCTTCTTCTTCTCCTACTTCTTCTTCTTCCTCTTGTTCTTATACTTCTTCTTATACTTCTTCTTCTTCCTCTCCTCCTTCTTCCCCTCCTTCCCATGTTGGTATGTTTCTGTGGTTGGATGAGTTGTTCTATTTATTATTTATTTTGAATTGATGACGTGACAGTGATCGGTCCTGGATCAATAAAAGGAATTTAAAAATCAAATCTTCCTTTCCTCCTTCCTGTTCTTCTTCTTCTTCTCCTTCTCCTTCCCCTTCTACCTCTCCTTCTTCTTCTACTTCTTCTTCTTTCCCTTCTCCATCTTCCTCTCCTCCTTCTCCTTCCTCTCCTCCTTCTTCCCCTCCTTCTAGTTGACTAACAGTTGAGTTGTTTCTCCGTCTTCCAGTCAGATAAAGATCGGGTTGAGATGAAGGATCTCCGTGAGACTGTTGAGCACCAACATAAAACTATCAAGAGATTTAACAGAGGTGAGAAACACAGTGACTGAGAACAACATATTGTGATTCTGATGCTAACATGCTAATAATAGCATGTAATCAGCATGGAAAAGGTTAACGTGCTAGCTCCCTGCCTCTGTAGTGTCCGTGATGGCGGCTCAGGAGTACGACGGGATGCAAGACCAGCTGGACCTGGAGCAGAGCCTGAGAGTGAAAGCTGAGACGTACGCTCACGAGGTAAATAAAAGTAACATGTAGAAGAAGAAGAAGAAGGAGGAAGGCAGGAATGTGTAAATGTACAGCTAGTGCTCAAGGGCACGGACCAGTGCAGGTTTGGACTCTTATGTTTGTTAGTTTTACAGTTTTTTACGTTTTTTCCTCCTCCTCCTCCTCCTCCCCTCGTCCTCCTGCTCCTCCTGCTCTTCCTCCTCCTCCTCCTCTTCCTCCTCCTGCTCTTCCTCCTCCTCCTCCTCCTCCTCTTCCTCTTCCTCCCCCTGTAGATGCTGGTGAAGCAGAAGGAGGCCAACAGACAGAGCATGTTGCTGCTGCAGAGCTCTGAGCCGAGCGTTCAGCTCCTCAAAGCTCTGGAGGACGTGGCTACGATCACCAAAACCCTGGAGGAGGAGCGACTGAGGCACCAGCAGGAGGTACAGAGTACCTGAGCAGGTAGAGAACAGAGTACCTGAGCAGGTAGAGAACAGAGTACCTGAGCAGGTAGTGAACAGAGTACCTGACCAGGTAGAGAACAGAGTACTTGAGCAGGTAGAGAACAGAGTACCTGAACTGAACAGGTAGAGAACAGAGTACCTGAACAGGTAGAGAACAGAGTACCTGAGCAGGTAGTGAACAGAGTACCTGAGCAGGTAGAGAACAGAGTACTTGAGCAGGTAGAGAACAAAGTACCTGAACTGAACAGGTAGAGAACAGAGTACCTGAGCAGGTAGTGAACAGAGTACCTGAACAGGTAGAGAACAGAGTACCTGAGCAGGTAGTGAACAGAGTACCTGACCAGGTAGAGAACAGAGTACTTGAGCAGGTAGAGAACAGAGTACCTGAACTGAACAGGTAGAGAACGGAGTACCTGAACAGGTAGTGAACAGAGTACCTGAGCAGGTAGAGAACAGAGTACCTGAGCAGGTAGTGAACAGAGTACCTGACCAGGTAGTGAACAGAGTACCTGAGCAGGTAGTGAACAGAGTACATGAGCAGGTAGAGAACAGAGTACCTGAGCAGGTAGTGAACAGAGTACCTGAGCAGGTAGTGAACAGAGTACATGAGCAGGTAGAGAACAGAGTACCTGAGCAGGTAGTGAACAGAGTACCTGAGCAGGTAGAGAACAGAGTACCTGAGCAGGTAGTGAACAGAGTACATGAGCAGGTAGAGAACAGAGTACCTGAGCAGGTAGTGAACAGAGTACCTGAGCAGGTAGTGAACAGAGTACCTGAGCAGGTAGTGAACAGAGTACCTGAACAGGTAGAGAACAGAGTACCTGAGCAGGTAGTGAACAGAGTACCTGAGCAGGTAGTTTAATTATTTGTGTGCGTGTGTGTAGGTGGAGACTCTGGGGGCCCAGCTGGAGCAGAGCGGTGTGAAGAAGCAGCTGGAGGCTCTTCAGAGGCAGCTGGAGCTGCTGGAGGTGGAGAAGAAGGAGGTGGAGGGACGACTGGATCGAGCAGAGAAGAAGAACGAGGAGCTGGAGGACCGAGGTGAACATGCTGATCAAATATTTGTACATAAATGAGGCACACGTTGACTATTTTACTTTATTATTCTACAAACTCCCACAATTCCATTGACTCCAACCATCGGTTGGAGTCTGCCCTGCAGCAGACCCATCTGCTGCAGGGCATCTGTCCCCTTTAAATAGGTCACATGAAGTCAGAACCACCAACTGACTTCAGCAACAAACACAGATAGTGAGAGAGGAGGCGTCACTCTGCAGGGAAACCAAGAGACAGACATGTGTAATGTAGTACATTACATTACATTTACATTACAGTCATTTAGCAGATGCTTTTATCCAAAGCAACTTACAATTCAGAGTCTATCACATTTCTACACCGTAGGCACAACTACGGGAGCAATTTTGGGGTTAAGTGTCTTGCTCAAGGACACATCGACATGCGACTAGCAGAGCCAGGGATTGAACCGCCGCTCTTCTGATTGAAAGACGGCCCTGCTATCCACTTAGCCACAGTCGCTAAGTCGCTACATGTTAGTAGTAGTACAGTTTTATTTATGTCTCTATTGTCTCCACAGTCAACGAGCTCCAGCAGACCCACAAAGAGGTCTCTGTGACAACCAGCACGGCCCCCCCTCCCCCTGAACCCGGGCTGGCCCCACCCCCCGCCCCTCCCTCCACTTCCCCCCCCCCCCCCCCTCCTCCTCCTCCTCCTCCCCCTCCCCCACCTCCTCCCCCCTCCAGGTGCAACCCCCTCAGGTGAGGACGGACATAAAACACGATTGACTTGTCATCAGTGTAGTATTTTCAACTTCCTGTGTCTCCTCATGACATCACTTCCTGTCTCTCTCAGCTCTCTGATCGCCATCATGAGGAAGACCTCCAAAGGCTCCAAGACCCCTGTGAAGGCCTCGGAGCAGCCTGCAGGTGAGTCTCACCTGTGTGCTACAGGTAACGCCTTGTGACATCATCACGGTGACCTATGAAAATAATAACTTTATGGAATTCCTGTTTCTGTCCAGCTGGAGAGGACGGAGACGTGAAGGCGAAGGCGCTGAACGAGATGATGGAGAGAATCAAACATGGAGTCGTCCTGAGGCCGGTCAAGAGTCAGGAGAGCAAGGTGATGATAATAATAATAATAATATAATAATAATAATAACAATAATAACAATAATGTAATAATAATATAATAATAATAATTATAATAATAATATAATAATAATAATAATATAATAATAATAATAATAATATCATAATAATAATATTATAATAATAATAATACAATAATAAAAGTAATATAATAATAATATATTAATAATAATATTATAATAATAATAAAAATATTATTATTATAATAATAATATAATAACAATAATAATAATGTGTCCCATTGAAAGAATCAAAAATAGTTAATTGACACAGTATTTAATCAGCTTTATTGTCACTGTGGTGACATTTAAAAACAACATGATGAGCTGTTATTGTTTCATCACATTATCAATCAATCAAACAATCAATCAAACAATCAACATTTAGCTGCTGCTGACAGACGGCTTCATAACAACTGTGTCACTCTGGAACATTTTATACACCAGAGAACATTTTTATTTGTATTCTTCTGTGAGAAACCTCACTCACAAAATATATATATATATATTTTCTACCAACGAGAAAATACTAAATATGAGTAAACTAATGAATGCAGCAGGTTAAAGGCGTTCTTATTATAACATCCGGCTCATTGTTCCTCCTCCATCTTTGTTTCACTGTAACTCTTCTTCTTCTTCTTCTTCTTCTTCAGCAGAGAGCAGCAGTAAAAGTGAGTATATTGATGTTTGCCTCAATCTTGAGATGTGAGGCAAACACACACACACTTTGAACTTCCAGTTTAACTGACATCAGGAGCTCAATCACTTTTAGTTATAGTTACATTCGTCCCTCACAAAAAGCTCAAATATCAAACGTTTCAGTGTTTATCAAACGACAGCACCATTGGTCACATGATCGAACTCTTGTGTCAAAGTAAAAATAATTTGTTTGTTTTTTCTTTCCAGCCGCCTCCAGTCTGTGAGGAGAAACCACAGGAGAGCGCCATGGAGGAGCTGAAAGGCATCCTGGTAACGCTGCATTCCCTCTAGTGTCCACCAGGGGGCGACTCCTCTGGTTGTATAGAAGTCTATGAGAAACAGTGATTGATAGGTTAAAAGCTGCTGCAGTGACGCTTGTGTTCTCCAGGAGACGGTGAAGAGGAGCCCCAGCCGAGGCTCTCAGGAGGCGGGGCCGTCTCCGTTGGTGAAGAAGAAGGACAGCGAGCTGGAGGTGATCCTGAGACGAAGACGCAACAAGGCGGGAGAACCTGGTTCTGGAGGTAACGGATCTAAAATACTCTGTTACAAGTAAAACATCCTCCAGACTGATGGACCCGCTGGAGGAAAGGGGGACACGAGAGAACCAGGATCAGGACTGAGAGGGGCAGACTGTCAGACTCTGCTGTAGTAGAATGAGAGGTTTTCTAAAGGGAGTCTGGTGCTCAGAGACACTACCACTTTAGTCCACAGGGGGCGACACAATCAACTCTAAATAAAGTCAGCATAGTAGCTGTGGATTACCTTCAAATTAAAGTTACTGCGATAAACTTTAATTTAGAGTTGGTTCTTCCCCCCTTAGTGATAGTGTCTCTGAGAACCAGACTCCCTTTATAAAACCTCGCATTCTACTGCAGCAGGGTCTGACAGTCTGCCCCTCTCAGTCCTGGTCCGGGTTCTGGTTCTCCCGTGCCTCCCTCCCCTGGTTCATCAGTACATCCTGGGTCTCCAGCAGCACATAAACTAAAAGGTGTTTGAGGAAGAGGACCTCTGAGGGTCACATGATGGATCTGGTCTCTGAGGGTCCCATGATGGATCTGGTCCCTGAGGGTCACATGATGAATCTGGTCTCTGAGGGTCACATGATGGATCTGGTCTCTGAGGATCACATGATGGATCTGGTTTCTGAGGGTCACATGATGGATCTGGTCTCTGAGGGTCACATGATGGATCTGGTCCCTGAGGGTCCCATGATTGATCTGGTCTCTGAGGATCACATGATGAATCTGGTCTCTGAGTGTCACATGATGGATCTGGTCTCTGAGGGTCCCATGATTGATCTGGTCTCTGAGGATCACATGATGAATCTGGTCTCTGAGTGTCACATGATGGATCTGGTCTCTGAGGGTCCCATGATGGATCTGGTCTCTGAGGGTCACATGATGGATCTGGTCTCTGAGGGTCCCATGATGGATCTGGTCCCTGAGGGTCACATGATGGATCTGGTCTCTGAGGGTCACATGATGGATCTAGTCCCTGAGGTTCAGATGATGGATCTGGTTTCTGAGGATCACATGATGGATCTGGTTTCTGAGGGTCACATGATGGATCTGGTCTCTGAGGGTCACATGATGGATCTAGTCCCTGAGGTTCAGATGATGGATCTGGTCTCTGAGGGTCCCATGACGGATCTGATCTCTGAGGGTCCCATGATTGATCTGGTCTCTGAGGATCACATGATGAATCTGGTCTCTGAGTGTCACATGATGGATCTGGTCTCTGAGGGTCACATGATGAATCTGGTCTCTGAGGGTCCCATGACGGATCTGGTCTCTGAGGATCACATGATGGATCTGGTCTCTGAGGATCACTTGATGAATCTGGTCTCCCGCTGAGACACTGGTCTTTTCTCTCAGGAAAGGAGCTTCAATGCTTCCTTTCCTTATCTCCTTTAGCATAGGAGACACTGGACCATCCTTTACCAAAGGACATAAAATGCCGTCCCACAATTCCTTGCGGCGGCAACATTTAAAGTGAGGGTTTATGAAAATAAACGATAAGCTAACCTTTATTTTCATAAAATGTATTCAAATGTATTTATTTCAAACATGGAACAAATATGTAAAATAAACAAATCAGGAATCACAAGTAAATAAAACAAAGTGTCTCAAACAACATAAATAAATATAACTCTTAATGTGGGACAGAAGGAAGGAAGGACCTGAGGTGTCTCCTTCTCTCAGCGGCCTAATGAAGGAGACGTCCGTGTTTGTAGTCCTTCCTCAGACCATTTGTAGTTTCACCAGCAAACATCCACCGGCACGTCACGATGACGTCGTCTAGTGTCAGTGAAGTTTAACTCTCACGAAGAATGTTTTCCTTATAGAGGTCAAGGAGAAGTGGTTAGGAAAGGACTTAGGAAGCATCTGAGCTGCAGTGTCAGTGTGTGTCCAGAAGAGGGCGACCTGCTCCTCTCACACTGTGAGACCAGTTCATCACTGACTGACCTCGTCTGGTGGACTGAGACCGTCTGAGGGGGGCTGATGTCATCTAAATATATATATATATATATATATATATATATATTAGTGCTGGGCAACGATTAAAATATTTAATCGCGATTAATCGCATGGATTTCTTGCGATTAATCGCATTGTTATGGCAAAGTTCAATAATGAATTCAAAAGTAGTGTATTGTGCACTTTTATTTTAAAAGTACTGCTATATGAACAAAAGGGAAATAACATTTGGCTCACGAGATGCAGGTAGCATGTTTTATACTTAATGTGAGTATAATTCATACTTTGTTGGCATCTTATTCTGAAAACCGGATGTTCGTCTGAAGAAACCGGATGTTGTTTCACGTTAATCTTTCCGCTAACTTTCAAAGTCCTTCGCTCGCTCCCGATCTGTGCCGTTTAAATGCGTTTACCGTGAATGTCAGCATATAGGTGCACTAACATGTAAGTGTCTGCTGACTTTACCGCAGCGATGTCCAGTAGTCTCCAGGGAGAGCAGCAGCTGGTGCAGCTTCTCTCTTTATTTCTGCCGACCCCCCTCGACCAGAAGCGGAAGTCGCCTTTTCTCTACGGCAACCCTCACACACACGCACACACACACACACACACACACACACACACAACTGACTATAGGATGTTTGCTGGCTTTTATCCCACTGTTCTTGTTGTTATGTATATGTATTGTCTCTTGTCTTTCAATAAAAAAAATGTAAAACATTTAAAAAAATAAATAAAAAATGCGTTATAATAACACGTTAACTTGCCCAGCACTAATATTATATATATATATTAGTGCTGGGCAACGATTACAATTTTGAATCTCATTGTTATGCGCAAAGTTCAATAATGAATTCAAAAGTAGTGTATTGCTCACTTTTATTTTAAAGTACTTCTATATGAAGAAAAGGTCAATAACATTTGGTTTGTAAACACTTTAAACACATCAGGTTGTTGTTAGCAGCAGTATTCCCTTTACACAGCAGTAGTTATAACACAGTTATAATGATTCTGATCATAGATATTCAGCCGGGGTTCACAACTTTATCTTAATGTGTAAGAGATGATATTTAAATATACTTCTTGAAAACTGCAAACCTGTCTACGTCATGTTTTTATGTTTGTTAAATTCTCAGTAGTGATACTAAATGATGCTTATTATACATATTACAAACAAAACACTTTAAAAACTCTAAAACAATAATTTAAATGAATCATTTATTTTTTGGTATTTTGGTATGTTGGTCAGACACACATGCAACGCTGATTACCGTAATATGTGTGGTATTTGTTATAAATGTACGTTGGTACATAGAGGGTGATAAGAAGCTGTACATGGAGGGGCTTAGGACCCAGGGGAATGTAGGTGAAGGAAGCAGGAAGAGACGGAAGAGACGCCACACAAACAGCTGTTCACCGCTCGTCACGATCCTGTAACGAGATGATCGTGCGTGTCCGCTTAATGAAACATAAAAATAAAAAACTGCGTTAACGCGCGATAATATAATTGTAGGCGTTAATTAATGAAGCAATGAAGCAATACTCCCAGAGGATCAGGGACTCTGTGGAGGTTCTGGTCTCTCATTGGATTGTCTGCAGGAGGATCGGGGACTCTCTGGAGGTTCTGGTCTCATGTCTTGTTTCTCTGTGATCCTCCAGACGAGCTGGACGGTCAGATGAGCCACGTCTCGTCCTTCGACAGCCTGAACGGGAGGCGCACCAGCAGCGACTTGGGCCGGGATCTGGAGGGACCGGGTCCAAAGCTCGGTCCAGAGAGACGGGGGTCCGGACCGGGTCCCGTCGTGGCCCGGAGAAGGAGGAGCTCTGAGACCGGCAGGGAGCCCCGAGGAGGCTCCTGGCAGGAGAGGAGGTCCTGCAGCTCCCTGACCGAGAAGGATTCGCTCAGTAACAGCTGCATCGGCAGGTTTGGAACACGACACCTCCACCCCTCTACCCCTCCACCACTCTACACCTCCACCCCTCTACCCCTCCACACCTCTACACCTCCACCCCTCTACCCCTCCACACCTCTACCCCTCCACCACTCTACACCTCCACCCCTCTACCCCTCCACCCCTCTCTAACTTATCTTCCCGTGTCTCCGTCTCCACAGCGTGGCGGAGGACGATCGCCGTCCAGATGTCCAGACGAACGGAGTCCGACCCGCCGAGGACGACACCGCCGCTGCCGAGTGCTAGAAAATGGACGTCTGAGGTCATCTGATCAGCCATTGGCTGATGTGAGAGTGATGTCATCTGATCAGCCATTGGCTGATGTGAGAGTGATGTCATCGGGGTCAGGGTGCGCTCACAACCGGAGTAGAAAACATTCTGCTACTTTTTATATCTGAGTGTTTTTCTCGTCTAATTCGTTTCTTTTCTCGAAAGGAGCTGAAGTGAGTTCAGAGTTCAAAGGTAAACGTTGTGAACGCACCCCCCCCCCCCCCCCCACCCCCCCCCCCCCCCCCCCCCCCAGCGCCTCGTCCAGCCGTTGTAAAACGCCTGACTGTTAAACCAGCTGAGCAAAAAACAAGTTTCATTACTGATTGATAGCTCCATAATCTGCATGTTCTTCTCTAAAGGAAAAGGAAACATTCAACAACAAGTAATAAAAAGAGTGATGCATGATGGGAAACATGCAAATAGATTTTAAAAGGCTTAAACGTTTAATGCAGTCGATATTATTTATGCAGTCTAGATTAAACTGGGACTTTCTACGATGGCTGACATTCTATCAGGTCTCTGAAGAACCTGGATCCAGAGAAGAACCTGGATCCAGACAAGAACCTGGATTCAGAGGAGAACCTGGATCCTGAGGAGAACCTGTATCCAGAGAAGAACCTGGATCCAGAGGAGAACCTGGATCCTGAGGAGAACCTGGATCCAGAGAAGAACCTGGATCCTGAGGAGAACCTGGATCCAGAGGAGAACCTGGATCCTGAGAAGAACCTGCTCTCCGTTTGCACTGAACTTTTTAGCTTCTTGTACTTTAAGACTTTTAACGCTTTATGACGACGTCTTTCTGTTTTTCTATTTGATGCACAGAAGATCCATTTTAAAGTCACCGTCTTCTTCTTCTTCTTCTTTTCCTCATCGTCAGCGTCAGCAATACTGAATATAATAATATAATAATACTTCTGAATACTGAGACATGATTTACATGCATGTGTGTTGAAACTCCTCTTCAGGTTCTTTACTTTTAGAAACAAAAAACAACCATTCTGATGAATTCTGATGTTATTTTAGTAAAAGAGGGTTCGTCCTCTGGGGATCATGACAGATCTGACGTTTAGATTCTACATGGCTGAATGCGTAAAGTGGACATTTTGGCTTGATGGTGGCTTTAGAGGAGACTGTCTGGGAACCAGGAACAGACTCAACAAGTTCAAGTTCATTCTCTCTGCTCTGATTGGCTCATTGGATACAAGAACGCCCCTCTTTCTTCTTCTCTGCTTTGTCAAAAAACAGTTGACTGCTGTGAAGTTATTATCATATGAGGAGTTGGTAGAAACGTCTCATGTTAAAGTGACAGTGAGGATCTTTTAACTGGTCCTGAACCAGTCTCAGTGTAGTGCTGATCCTCTATATGAACCAGTCTCAGTGTAGTCCTGATCCTCTATATGAACCAGTCTCAGTGTAGTCCTGATCCTCTATCAGACCTCCATCAGTAAAGAGACCATCAGAGAGAAGATGGTCTGTTTCTATAGAGTTATTCTTGATGCTCATCATCGGAGCCACCGGGTCGGATTCTGGTGAAACCAGATGAACTCATGCAGGTTCACCAGAACCTCCTTCAGCTCAGACTCCAGCAGAGACTGGTCCACCGTGGACAGACCCAGATCCTCCAGCAGAGACCGGTCCACCGTGGACAGACACAAATCCTCCAGCAGAGACCGGTCCACCGTGGACAGACCCAGATCCTCAAGAAGAGACACGCTGCTGGAGACCCAGGATGTATTGCTGTACCCGCTGGAGGGAAGGGAGGCACGGGAGAACCAGAACCAGGACTGAGAGGGGCAGACTGTCAGACCCTGCTGCAGTAGAATGAGAGGTTTTCTAAAGGTGCTCAGAGACACTACCACTTTAGTCCACAGGGGGTGACACAATCAACTCTAAATAGAAGTTCATGGTACTAACTTTAATGTAACACTGAGACATTTAAATAATCTTAACATGTTGCACTTGTTTCATGAAGTCACAGATATATAAACATGATTTAAGATCAAGAGGAGGAACTAGGTCTCTATCAGGGTCTCGTGAGGGTTTCTAGAATCACATCCAACAGGAAAGTTCTCAGGGTCCAACGGGACAGGATGTCACCTCTCCAAAGTAAAAGCAGAGAATCAGATCTTTGGAGGAAGGTGGTGCTCCTGTTCTCCATCTACCTCTGAACCTTCACACAGTCCTGAAACTAAACAACGTCTTCCTCTTATAAGGTCTTGTAAATATATATATATTTATATATGTATTTATTAGTGCTGGGCAAGTTAATTAACGCCGACAATTATTTTATCGCGCGTTAACGCATTTTTTAAATTTATTATAATTCTTTTTTTAAATTTTTTTTATTGAAAGACAAGAGACAATACATATACATAACAACAAGAACAGTGGGATAAAAGCCAGCAAACATCCTATAGTCAGTAGTTCTAGTGCACCTATATGCTGACATTCACGGTAAACGCATTTAAACTGCACAGATCGGGAGCGAGCGAAGGACTTTGAAAGTTAGCGGAAAGATTAACGTGAGACAACCTCCGGTTTCTTCAGACGAACATCCGGTTTTCAGAATAAGATGCCAACAAAGTATGAATTATATTCACATTAAGTATAAAACATGCTGCCTGCATCTCGTGAACCAAATGTTATTGCCCTTTAGTTCATATAGCAGTACTTTAAAATAAAAGTGCGCAATACACTACTTTTGAATTCATTATTGAACTTTGCCATAACAATGAGATTAATCGCGATTCAA